CTGGGGCGAGCGTCTGACTTTGTCTGTTTGGCCGTGCCGTTCTGCTTGGGTTTAGTTTTGGAGACCTTCTTCAGGGTCTGAAAGGAGTCGCTGTCTGAGTCTACGACCAAAAACAAAAAAAGTCTTATTAAATACTGGCAAATCCAGAGTGCAAGTGTATAATCATTGAAATGTCCTCAATCGCCATCAAGACAAATGTGGCAATCAATGATGAAATGGATATCAGTTGATATGGACCCATTACCTGTCTCAGAGACATACTGCACAGGGTCCTTTTTGGGAGGCGTCTCTGATTTGCTCTTCTTCTGTTTCTCTTTGGGGGATTTCTTTGACTTTCTCACTGGCTCCTCGTCGTCGGAGTCTGAGCAGAAAGAAAAACATGATGCGCCACGAATACGCAGCTATGTGTTTAACCTTCCATCACAGCTGATCAAAAAGTCCCTAATTAGTGATGAAAGATAACTAAATGTGTCCCCTGAAAAACAGATCCTATGCTTTGTGCCTGACGTAATGATGCCATACAAGAGGCACAAACAGCAGCACAGTGCATCATGGGAATTATGCAGTAGCATAAATCTGAAAAGTCAAATCAAGCAATCTGATTGGTTCTTAGCCGTGATATAATGCGCGTATACCACGGGTAGAATTGTAGTTACTTTTCACAACAAGTCAGTATCCCTCCACGTCTGAGAAAATCTACAACCGTTACAACTGTGACATTACGTCTGTTAAAAAAACAGAAAAGATCATACATACCAGACACTATGACTGTCTGCTTCTTCCGTTTTTTGTCACCATCCTTGAGTTTCTCCTCTGTTTTGGAGCTTTTCACCTGAAGCATATGAACTTGAAATTAAACTTGATCAATAAGATGAGGCAACAGATGAACCACTATGGGAAGGAGGCGGGAGATAAGCATAACGTTCTTGCCTTGGTGGTCTCTTTCTTTTTGTTTTTCACTTCCTCGTCTGAAGAGAGAGGATTCTTTTTCTTCTTCTTTTTCTTCTCCTCCTCCTCTGTTTTGATGTTTCCATTTGGAGCTGGTTTCTGCACCGCAGGCTTGCTTGCAGTCGCTGCAAAGAACCGCCTGATGTCCTGTTTACACAAACACAAGTCAAGTCCTGTCCTTTAACTATTTAGTTCTAGTTTCTAGCAAACATGGCAGAAAGTAATGCCTCTCAGATGTTAAGATGTCCTGCTCCTTTGCTGAATAACTTTGAACACACTTAAAGACATCACCTTGGACTCTGAAAAAAGGGAGGGACAGTTTACACTATTTATGGAGGAAAGTATGAATCTAGAAAATAATCTACAGATTAATTAATAATCAAACAGAGCATTATTTGCAGTTCTAGTTATATCCTCACATAATGATAAATTGTGATTGGAATATACAACACTTTATTAGATGCAAATTTATGCTATGGTGCAGTTAAAATATTTGTTTTCAACAAAATGTGCATCATTTGAACTGCTTTAACAAATCAGCAAGCAAATGTAAATGGACACAACAAAAGAGCAAAATATGAGTATGTGTTGCTCGCTAACTTTAATTAATTTCTGAATATGTTTCCTCTTTAGCTGCAGCTAACACACTTAACTTCAGGATCAGCAGCAGCGATCAGGTTCAACAACAAAACAGGGTTACTTTAGGCGTTATGCAATCACGGTGTTTACGAAGACAGCGTACAGAGAAGTGCAAATAAATAGCTTTAAATGTGTCACGTACCATTATTGACAGGCTTCCTCGCAGTTTAGGTTCAGAAAAGTAATGAAATCCCACAACTGATTGGCGCGAAGCTGGATCCTGTCGCCTGGAGATGACGCACAACCGGGAGTCTGTTGCTGTGCGTCAGTTGCGTGGTTTTCGAAAACAAATAATATGTACTTTGTAAGAATGAAAAATAAATAAATAATATATTTTTTTAAAACACTCACTTAACATTTGGGTTCTGAAGGAAACGTTTGCTTTTTTGACAACCATTTCATAAAGCTGGGAGCAAATGTGCACTATTATAACCCTTATATTATGTAAACAAAAGCAAGACACTTTACCAGACTGGCAATTTATTGATTTTTTGGGGGAATTTCACATGAATAGAGCCAGGTTCTTCAAGTCTCTCCTATAGTTTGTACCTTTCAGGGTTGAATTTAGAAACTCATACTGAGTCAATATGTTAAATATACAATAAGAAATGTTCCTATGTAGATATTATTTAAAATACAAAACAAGGGTTTTGAGTACCTGAGACACTTTGATATGCTCTGTATAAAAAGAGGTAACCATTTTTCAGAAAAATACTCCTGCATTTCTTTTTTATCTGTGTAACTTGAAAAAACACAATAAGAGTGTGAATGTTTGATAAGAGAGCATTGACCCTGGAAACATACAATCCCATAACATATTTGATTTATAAAAAATAGTGCGTTGAGCTTTGATTTGTGGACAAGTATTCAAGCTGATGTCTGTCTGGTTCAACAGGCTGCACATGAAGGCCAAAGCAACAGAGAATATATATTTCCAGGAGGTTTACTCTCAGCCTCATTTCTTTCTTACTCTTTTCTCTCATCACTATCACATCAGCTGTTTCAACATCAACCAGGATGCTGACTGTGTCTCTACTAGTTTGTGCCATGATGGCTCTGACTAGAGCTAATGGTGATGGTGAGTATCTCTTGATACATTTTGTGAGCAGTAATATCGAAGCAAACCTTTATTGTTGAAGCTAACTTCACAGAAAAGCATGTAAAAAACCATATATATTGAACTATTAAATGCATCATATTCTGGCATATATGCAAACCATATGCATTAATGATGTCCTACAACACAAAAGTAACAAAGATAAGTAAGAATAGGATCTGGCTTTTGGTAATTGTTTTTCTATTTAAAGGATATGATTCCATATAATGATATAATTGACATAGCTTTTTAAATTGTAAGAGAGACCAGACATTGACAGTTAAAGCAGGAGACATGAAGGGAAGAGGATAGTCAGGTCTAAACTGCAGATACAACTTATTTTACTATCACTCTTTCGCCTAATTACTAATTAACTGTTTAAGGCTTTTTCTCCACATGACTAAATGACACCCAAACCAAGCTAAACCTGAGGTAACGGTAGCTAGTTTTAGATGAGCAGAATAGCAGTAGCCGCGATCTCCGCTTTTGACCATAGTTGAAAGCTTTAACAATATAAATGTGCTTTACAGAAGAGGTTAAAGTGCGTCAAACAGCCTTTTGCCCTATTTCGCTGAGCTGCCCTTCCGGAGGAAATACAATTTAAATGTGTTTATTTGAACTCTTTACAGAGCATTCTGAGACCCTCTTCTTCTCTATGTATTTCCCTATTATGCATATTGATATAGGCACAACTAATGAAATGTGATGTATTGTCATTCAGGCCTTTTACAATAAAAGGATTACACACTCATTTGTAAAAACAGACACAGCGACTGCCTGCCTCCGATTAATTATGTGACCCACTCTCCTGTTTGTCCTCAGGGGGCCTGCGGTCGAGGGTTCAAAAACCACCGTCCTCTCTCAGGCCAAAGGTCAAGCACCACGCTCAGGTTGTCTTCTTGGAACACATATGGTGATCGACGTTTCTTTTTTGAACCAGCAAAAAGGAGTTGGGTTAAGTCTGAGGTAGAAAAGTATGAATATATGGATTTAGCCTGCTTTTGAATAGTCTTCTGATGTACTTGCATGCTTGTTTTTATTGACATTTCTATTGTAGATGCAATCAGAGCCTGGGAGGAAACCTTGCCTCCATCCATAACTACGCTGAGTATAATCACCAAGCAGATGGCTTCTGAACCAGCGTGGGTTAGAGGAGCAGCTTGCCAACACGTAAGGTTTTGGTGGTGCCAACAGAATAGAAATCTTAAAAGCTTTACATAACAAATCATCTTTATTTTCTGTCTTCCAGGGATTGACTTGGCTCTGGAGTGATGGTCTACCTATTATGGTGAATGGTGTCCGAATCAACCTAAAGGTGGTACAGAAGAGTGCCCTTTGCAGATCAATTCTGGGGGTAAATCACACTTACTTTGAGAGCTTATTATAAATAATACGTACTAAAGGCAGTAGGATTGTTTTTGTAAATGTTGCAAGTTAATGGCCCAGTTGTAAATTGAATCTTAAAAAAAATAAAGGGTTAAAAATTGCACAATGATGTTTTTACATGAGAACAATGCTGGGATGACATACGTTGTAACCATAGACTATATATGTATATATTGTAACACTCTGCGTCCCAATCTGTGTCAAGGCAGCCCACTGGCTCAGCCTTTACAAGGACCCTGAAGAGTCATGAAAATGCTGCTTTAAGCACTTTGATGCATTATCAATTATTATCATGATCCTATCCATCCCCACCCGCATCAATCACCGGACCTGGGGGGACAGAGCCTTTTCCGTTGCTGCTCCCTCCCTCTGGAACTCACTCCCCCAACACATCAGACTGCACTGACCTCACCACCTTCAAAATAACTCACCTCTTCAATCTGGCTTTTAATGTGTGATTGTCTTTGTATTATTTGACTTTAAATATTTATTTGTTGTTCTTTTCACTATATCTGTAAAGCATCTTTGAGCACCTGTAAAAGCGCTAACAAAATAAATCTATTATGGCAAAAATAAATAAAGGCTGAAACAAAACCGTTCAGCAAGTCTTTCTGAAGTTTACTAGTCAGTAAAAAAGTACACTTATTGATCAAACAAATGTGAGTTTTTACTGCTTTATAGGTGCACACATTTGACATACTAGGAAGTTATGGAATAATGTATTCTGATACGGGTCAATCCACATATTGACCACCTCCATGTACTCCCATGAATGCAGTATAACCATTGTAAGTCATGAGGTTGAACAAAAGCAATAGCATAATAATATTTAAAGCTTTAAAGCTCATTCAGCTGAATGGCTTTTCTCAAATGTATTCCCGCTCAACGACTGACCTGCAGCAAATCAAATGAAGGGGACAAAACAACTGAAGAGATTGGCTGGAAAAGTTGGTAGTTTTATTGGTCATAAGGACATAGTGAACAATTATTCAGTATCCTGCTGGACCACGGTGGTCTTCTCGCTCACATAGATTCCGTCCAGGAACTTCCTGATGTCCTTCTTTTTGACCGTGGTGGCCTGTTGGATCAAGGCCGCTGAAAATGTAACAAAGGAGAGTGTGAAGGGACGATCACATGAGGGTAGAGGAAAGCCTAATGTTACCACAACATGCCGAATGATTAAGGCCTGCAGGACATGAGCACTCCTACATAGGCTTTGTGTTTTAGAAAACAACTTCGATTAAACAACTGATTATAGATGCATGCAGTGGTTTGGGTTTAAGACAAACCATAAAGCTGTAGTAGAATAGACTCAGTGAAACCATGCTGGAGTTATGTGATCTTGTGTTGTCACACAACAGAAAAATTTGCTTTTCACTAATTTGAAATCTTATGAACAAGCTACATCTTCAAATAGGATTAGTTGATAAACAGTATAGCCCGTTAGATTAAAAGGGAAAACATGGAGATGCTTTGAAACAGAAACATGTTGCATCACCCCGAGACAACAGAAAGGAACGTGCAAAGACAGAAACAGATGAGAACACAAGGGAGGCTTCGACGGTAAGTCTAACCTCAATGAGTGCAGATGTATTTTTTTACTGAGGGGCATCCACTACTGTTCCCTTCTCAGACACGTAAACACCATCCAAGAACTTTCTGATATCCTTATTTTTGACTGTGGTAGCCTGTTGGATCAGAGCAGCTGGAACAAAAGGAGGTTGGGATAACACGTCACATGGGATCACAGTGATTACACAGGAGGTCAGAGGGAACACTGAGGAAGGGTACTAGAGATGAGGAATGAACAATGAGTCAGGAGGGACAGGTATAATGACACATTTAGCTTTGCATTTCACATTTGTAATGAAATAATGACATGTTTGCATTTCAGCTTTCATTTGGTTGTGTGTTACCATGCACATCATAATTAACCAAATCCTTTATAAAGCTACAAGTCAAGCAGTCAATTCAATTACAAACCCAATGCACTGGGGTACGAAGCCAAAACACATACGTCGGTCCTACCGAAACACTAATGTATAGCAGTGGGCATGGGTGGGGGGGGGGCAGGCTTAAGATCTCCAGTAATTGTCAGTGTAAATGTACTGTAATATCCTGTTAACTTCAATATGTCCCAATGGACTTCATTCCTGACATAAAATAGCTGAAGTCAGAGGGTCTGAGAGGTATATCTGAGGCATTGTTTCGTTCAGAGCTCTAAAAAAATAATAAAAGTTATTTCTGCTGAATTACTCCCAAACATATGCAACCTCCGCTTTAAACTGCAACAAGAACCATCAAGCGCTCTAACATGTCAGTCGTAAAAATATATGTGAACCATGAATGTTAAGAGGGAGTTCTACTTTTAAATGGTAGAATAAAATACTCACTCCATTTAATGAAATAGTGCCAAACTCATGTTCAAGTCAATATAATAGTTCTGTAGCAAGGACAAGGAAAGGATCAGACAGATAAAACTAACAGCTAGTTTCTGGGGAGAGGCAGCAGCCAATCAGCCGCCCTCATGTCACCAACAGATTTCCGGTGTTATTTGTTTACATCTGAAAGTAGTCTAAACCAAGCTTGAAGGCAGCTTTGTTTAACTGAAAGTATATTAGGGATCCTGTTAGTCATTCAATAACGTGTAACACTTTAGTTAAACAAGCTTGGTCTGCGACAGGGGGTCCAATAAATCAGGATTTGGGCTTGCAGACGGGTCAGGATATTTAACCTGCTAGATACCTCTCAGTGGCATCTTTAAAAAAATGTAGTGATTGTTGACAAAAGGGAAAATGTTTCACGCCGATGGAGTTTTGTTAAAGGCTAGGTAAAAGAAAAATGGCTTTAAAAACAACCTTTTCAGCTGTAGAGAAAGAGCGGTTACCTGAGTTTGACACCAGCTCAATGTCGTTTCCCTCCAGGATCAGCTCGTCCTTCTGGGCAGTGGACACTGCACAGTTCACACCTGAAGGAAAGAGATTCACTTTTCAGAATGGGATACAGCCTGCACCTCTGAGGAACATAAAAAAATACATGTAGCTCAATATTTGACAGAAAACACAATATTTCGATAACTTGCAGCAGACTCACCAGCCCTCATTCGGACGCGGCGGATGTATTTCTCTCCCAGGAAGTTCCTGATCTCCACCAGAGTTCCAGTCTCCTGGATGACGACGTTGATGGGGAAATGGGCGTACACCGAGCGCATTTTGTACCGGAAGCCCTGCAGCCAGACAGAACCAGAGATGCATTCAGCAAAAAACGAAATTGTTCAACCAACAATGACAATGACTACAGTACATGCTTATCCCATTGTGAAGTTGGATCTGATCTTGATCTGTAAGGATGTGATTTCTGATACAACTCTGTATTGGGGATATTTCAGCTACTATACCAATTGTACTGTGATACTTATTATTAGTCGCTTTGGATAAAAGCGTCAGCTAAATGCAATGTAATATTATTCATTCTCAGAGAATTTGTGCTGTAAATTGTTCAACAGCTCCACTACACTAGTGAATAGTTAGTAATAATATTTACATTTAAAAAAAAATGACATGCTTGTTTGAAAAATATTGCACACATGTTGTATTATTTTTGTTTCTATTCCCTCTGTGTCAGTTTTGAAATGCAAACATACAGCAGCCTTAGCATGTTTTATTCAACAGAGTTTATAACTTAATTCTTGGTTAAAACATCATGCATTCACAGAACAAGGTACACATTAAAAGACAGATCAAGAGTTAATAAATAGATTTATCAGGTGAACTTCAATATAAATCAGAAAATAAACATTTTAAAATCGGTCTGTACTCACCAAGGTGACTCCCTTGATCATGTTCTGGACGTGGCTGCAGATGGTGCGGACCGTGGCCAACTCCTTCCTGTTACCCCACCATTTATCCACACGAAGCTGAGGAGGACAGCATGAGTGACATTAGTCTCCTTGTCTTTAATCAAAAGCTTTTGGAAAGATTACTGGAAAACCTCTGGAATTTTGCTTTTTTTACTTGTTACGAGCCATTTTGAGATACAATAGCAAAAAAAACTGATCAGAATTGCTGCATGTAATATGCAGGTGTAAAAATATATATCTAAAAACTTTAGGAACTTTTTTTAAATAGTCAAAACAGCTGATCGGCCTCTCAAAGTGCAATGCTTTCCAACTTGTGATGGCATGTTTAGCTTTCATTTTTAATCTAGCAAGAGCCCTAACGTTCTGGATCATGTCCATGCAGAATTGACAGGATAACACTTCATAACTGGGGGAAACAGATTACAACCTTTCGCATCACTTTTAATTTCTTATCTATAGTCTTTAAATTGTCCTGGTAATCCATTCAATGATCACCCAGAGACATGTCATCGTGCCTACACATTTCCATTACAGCACAAACAGAGCCTTACCTTCTTCTGTTTCTTGCCCAGCAGACTGAGCTCCAGGTTGATGTGGTTAAACTCCCTGACGAGTTTGCCACGGGGCCCCTTGACAGTGACTGTCCGCCCCTTCAACCTCACCTCGACTACAAAGAGAAAAAGCGTTTAGAAACCACACTCCACAAGTTAGGTTAAAACGCATGTACATCAGGAATTATCCTGGTAGTGTGCACAAATCATCTTTCTTACCCTGGTCGGGGATGTCCACAGTCTGACTGCTGAGAATGGTCTTCATTCTGTAAAATCGAAAAGATAACATGTCAGTTTATGGTCTGAAACTTATTAGCATCATTTATTATGAGACATCTTCACTCTTCATAGCTACATTTCTATAATGACAGGGTGCAAAATATCCAGTGCTGACCAGTCATGTTGTGCTTAACATTACAGGATTATGTTTGAGTCAACAATAAAACGTGGTCATGTTAAAATACAGTATGAGCATCTCAGCACAGCCATACTGCTTTATAGCAACTAGCATTTGTGCTAATGCTAAGGGAAAGATACATTAGGCAGTGACACCAGTGTTACCCAAAACAGGACCAACTCTAAAACCTGATACTCAGAGTAATTAACAACTGAAACCACAAGAATACTGCACTCCAAAAACTTAATATAGTTAAACGAGCTGCGGCCCTGAGAAGGGACATGGCAGCCAGGCCTCAGACAAACAGCGGTATCGATGAAAAACAACTAATATATTTCTTAACACACCTAACGTTTAGGCAAAATACAGCTTATGTAGTGTAAAATAACACTGCCTGCATCAGTTAGTTCACAGGTAAGCCAAAAAGATGTTTAATTGACACAGATGGAGTTAGATAAAACTCGGGGAATAATTTTCAGCTATCCTCACCTCGCCGGTAGCAAAGGAAAGGGGGAAGGAAGGACGTCACGACGCAAATGTAGAGAACGTGCGTGCCGTCATCAGGCATAAATAGACGATTGACGAACCAACACAATTCGTAAAATACTGTAGCTTTAAATTGAAAAAACACACAAACGACCACAGAAAAGTAGTTGTGTGTCTTTAAAATTGTTTTTATTATTATCAATCATTTTAATTACTCAACTTTCTTTACTTGTATACATTTGTTATGCCATCTCAATAATTCAATCCTTTTTAATATCTTTATTTCTTGCTTACAATATACCTGGTTTGTTACTAATTCTTATACAAATATAATAAATAACTCTTTAAGCGTATTTAATCAAGGTTGGAATAATCATGAACGCCCCAAGTCACACATAAAATAGATATTTATTTCTCACCAATCTGCCTTATTCACTTGAACGCATCACCAGACCAAAGCAGCCGATTGTGGAGGTTTGTTTTCAATGACAGTCGCTTGTAGCTAAAGTCATGGCGCTGCTCAAACAAAGCTGTTGTGTCGCCGGACGTTTCTCCACAAATCATCTGTGGATGAGTCCGAGATGTATCACACATGTGAGTATTTTAACTGCTCGAATATTTTACAAACAATGACGGTATGATGGTTTTTCTGTTATCGGCTAATAATAGTATACTAAGCCTGCTGGTCAGAGGCCTTGAAGAAACGTGACGTATATAATTGTTTTTACTCAGCTGTAGTGACAGTTAGAAGGCTGTTCATAAAACTCCTCAAATAAAAGCTATGGTTTACTGACTGTATTGTTAACATGGTTTGTATTTACTGCAATGTATAACAATCAACAGTGACCAGGTTGTGTAAAGAAACTAATTACATGTACTCAAGTACTTTACCTAAGTATATTTTGAGAGACTTGTACTTTACTTGATTATCTCCATTTGTTGCTGCTTTGTATTGCTACCCCACTACAATTCAGGGGTAAATCATGTACTTTTACTCCACTACGTTTATGTAATACTTTAAGTTACTTTACAGATTTGGATTAATAATACGAAATATAATCAACACTTAAATAAGACTTTAGTTACACCTGGAGTAAATTCACAAGCTACCCTGCAGTATACAAAGTCATTCAAACTAGCTGCACCTTTACCAGCTTTAATGCATCAATAATTATAATCAAAACATATGACATATATATATATATTATTCTGAAATGGGCCCATCTGCATTATGAGTATACTTCTTTAAGTATCTTTAGACGCTAATACTTTTGTACTTTTCCTTGAGTAACATTTTGAATGCTGGACTTTTCCTAGTATTCCTAGACTGTGGTATTTCTACTTTTACTTAAGTACAACATATGAGTATATCTTCCACCTCTAACTAACACTCGGTCCTTCCTCTGCAGGTTTACAGCAGCACTGTGACTTCTGCGGCAAAGTCCTCCCCAGACAGGGCCGACAGAAAGAAGGAGCTTCTGGGTGAAGATGGGCCTGACCTACAGGACTTCATTTCAGGGGAATTATCCGAGAAAAGCAAGTGGATCGAGTACAAAGGGAACCTGAAGAGAGACAAGGGAGCGAGGTGAGACATATTGCAGCAGTGAGAAAGTACACATTTTCAGTTTCTCCATGTGAGTGATGAGTGTTATCAGAAGGGTTCAAAGACCAGATCAGACCAACACTTATCCAACAGACTTTAACTATGATAAGTCAACCTCAAGCCTGAGTGGTTCTGCTGTCATACCTTGAATGGTAATATTTAGTAATGGCATGCTACCCATGTAGATCCTCATACATCTGACATTTGCTGGTTGAAATTGAACTTCTGCTCATTTAAATCTAAATGTAGTGACATATATATTTTATCCACAGAGAAAAGACATCATTAAGTGATTTACTTTGCTAATGTTTTGTGACAGGCTGCGTCTTCCTCCGTGGCTGAAGACGGAGATTCCCATTGGAAAAAATTTCAACAAACTGAAGAACACTCTGAGAGACCTCAACCTGCACACAGTAAGTTGACAGGTGACGAGTTAAAGGAAGTATACGCAAAAGTGAGTGGAGAAATGTAATGAATGCTGACACTTCTAACTGGGGAGGGGGCATTTGCTTTTCCTGTATCATTGGATGGATGTTCACAACAAATGAATACCATGTTTTATTATTTTTTGATTGAACACATTTTATTCATACCTGTCAGAGCATACATTTCAGATATAGTTGCTGTCTCCCCCATGGTATGATATGTCAAATAGTCTTCATTTTAACAACCTTTTTGTTTAAAAAGGAAATAATCTCAAAACATTTTTAAATTTAATGAAAACGGAGAATGGTGGTTTGCTAATATTGAGTCTGGACTTACAGATGTACAGTGGGGCAAAAAAGTATTTAGTCAGCCACCAATTGTGCAAGTTCTCCCACTTAAAAAGATGAGAGACCTGTAATTTTCATCCTAGGTATACCTCAACTATGAGAGACAAAATGAGAAAAAAAAATCCAGAAAATCACATCGTCTGATTTTTAAAGAATTTATTTGCAAATTATGGTGGAAAATAAGTATTTAGTCACCTACAAACAAACAAGATTTCTGGCTCTCACAGACCCGTAACTTCTTCTTTAAGAGCCTCCTCTGTCCTCCACTTGTTAACTGTATTAACGGCACTTGTTTGAACTCGTTATCAGTATAAAAGACACCTGTCCACAACCTCAAACAGTCACACTCCAAACTCCACTATGGAGCTGTCAAAGGACACCAGAAACAAAATTGTAGACCTGCACCAGGCTGGGAAGACTGAATCTGCAATAGGTAAGCAGCTTGGTGTGAAGAAATCAACTGTGGGAGCAATTATTAGAAAATGGAAGACATACAAGACCACTGATAATCTCCCTCGATCTGGGGCTCCACGCAAGATCTCACCCCGTGGGGTCAAAATGATCACAAGAACGGTGAGCAAAAATCCCAGAACCACACAGGGGGACCTAGTCAATGACCTGCAGAGAGCTGGGACCAAAGTAACAAAGGCTACCATCAGTAACACACTACGCCGCCAGGGACTCAAATCCTGCAGTGCCAGACGTGTCCCCCTGCTTAAGCCAGTCCATGTCCAGGCCCGTCTGAAGTTTGCTAGAGAGCATTTAGATGATCCAGAAGAGGATTGGGAGAATGTCATATGGTCAGATGAAACCAAAATAGAACTTTTTGGTAAAAACTCAACTAGACGTGTTTGGAGGAGAAAGAATGCTGAGTTGCATCCAAAGAACACCATACCTACTGTGAAACATGGGGGTGGAAACATCATGCTTTGGGGCTGTTTTTCTGCAAAGGGACCAGGACGACTGATCCGTGTAAAGGAAAGAATGAATGGGGCCATGTATCGTGAGATTTTGAGTGACAACCTCCTTCCATCAGCAAGGGCATTGAAGATGAAACGTGGCTGGGTCTTTCAGCATGACAATGATCCCAAACACACCGCCCGGGCAACGAAGGAGTGGCTTC